AGAACAACTTGTTACCCATAGCTGTGGCCGCACCATCATGTAAATTGTCAGAGTTGTGATGGCCAAGGGTTGGAATCCCATTTCCTTGGGGCAGTCCTGACATCAGGGTGTTGACTCTTCCAGCCGCAGATGAAGGCTCGGCGTGGCGGAGGTGCTGAGCTGCTCTCGGGGTTTGGCCACGCTGGCTAAGCGGCGGGTGCAGGTGCCGGTGTGCTCCTGTGTGCCGTGGGATCCTGGGGTCTGTGGATGCTTTAGCTTATGTTTGGGTTAGTCAAAACAAATAGAAGTGGTAAATAAATAAATTATGGGCAGCGTTTCTTTCCTAATATGTTTGCCCAGACCAGGGTCTGAGCGTCAAGAAGCTGCAGGTTGGGCAGAGGAAGGCAGTGATTTGGGAAAACCTTTGTGCAGGTGGGAGCTGAGCTGCCTCCTGCCTTCTCCAGCGCTGCCGGGGCAGGAGCAGCAGGCAAGAGGGGCAAAACGGCCCTCCTGCCAGAGCAGAGTATCCCAGCCGCTGTCCGATTCCAGCTCCTGGGAGCAAGATTCAATCTCCACCAGCAGCAGCAGGGCAGCTTTGTGTGCCTCAGCAGGGTCATGCTGCCGTGGAAGCATTGTGGAGGCTGCTCAGCAGAGCTCTGCAGCGCAGCACCCTGTGCCCGACTGGAGGAGTACGAGCATTTTGCGAGGATCAGGGTGCGCTGGGGGAGTCGGGGGGCTGAGCGAGCCGAGGGACCAGCAGGCACGGCTGATCCATGCAGACACACGCGTGGGGGAAGGCAGGGTGCTGGAGGCTGGGCAGGGGTTTGTTGATGGAGTTGTGCAGGGACACGGTGCGAGACCTGTGACGTGGTGCCACCAGCACCGTGTCCCTGAGCCAGGCTTCCCGCTCCTGCTGCGAGTGATTTAGGTTCCCTGGAGCATGAAGCAATTAGCGTCTGCCGTGTGCCTGCTGCGGAACCCCGGGGACCGGCACCGCTCCAGGCTGCTGCGGTCCTGGGTGCACCGTGCGTCCTCCATGGAAACCGGGCAGCATCAGCGCGCGAGCTGCCCAGAAAGCTTTTAATTGCTGGCACGCGCTGTTTTCCTCAGCTGGAAACATCACAAGAAGGGAGGGACTTGCCCCGCTGGAGAGAAGCAAATTGCAGTGACGGGGACAGACTGAGCCGCTCTGTTTGCTTTTGCCGTGCGTGTCTGGATGGATGCTGGTCTGCACGGGGTTGTGTTTGTGCCACGGATGAAGTGTAGCATACACGCGCAGCCTGCCTTACCACTGCAGCTGTGCCGTGCAGCTACAAGTCTCTTTGCACGCAGGAGGGGACGGTCCCGGGGGTCTCCTGGTGCTCGCTCGCTGTGTGACTGGGGTGGGGGCTGGCCCTGGTGGGTGGCAGCATGGCTGTGCCTGTCTCCAGCGCTGTGAAACGGGTAACGTGAGGAAGTGGAGTGCACATCTTCCGTTAACTTAAAGGGAAGTTTTTTGTTGTTGTTCATTTTTTTTTTTTTCTTTTCCCCAGCGCTACTTTTGAAAATTTCTACCCTTGGCATTGTTTTTAAAGACTCCCACACCAGCCCAGCACCTGTGTGCGGCCACGTAAGACCTATTGCAGTCACTAGATTGCAGTGAAGCGTGTGCCTAAGGACTTTGACAAATTGTGGAGTTGAAATTGCCATTATGATAAGTGGATGTTTATGTGCAAGTCTTAAATACCCCAGGAAAGCTTTGCTTTTGTTTTCTTACGGCACTGAACAAGGAGTCTGTAATACAATGTCAGTGTTCCTCCACTGGGTCACTGCTCCAGATCTGCATTTCGAGAGGTCTCGTACTGTTTGCCTGTCTCAAGCAGAAATTGTGACCTCTCACTTGGGAATCGCTTGAATGAATTCGGGGCTCTCCGAGTCCCAGGACTTGTAGCCGTCTTGCCAGATTGCAACCAGGATTTCAGTTTGTCCTGTGCTTGATTCTCCTCCTAAAAGAAATACATGGGTAGCCTGGGGTGATACTGGCTTATTTACAGCTTGCTGCATCCTGGTCTCATGCGCTGTGGGGCTGCCTGGGAAGAGACAGGCTTTGCTCCCAAAGTTGCTTTTTATTCCTTTTTTTTCCTTTTTGGAGGTTACAGGTTTTGTTCTGTACCGGCCTTGATAGCACATCCCTTCACGCTTTCTGCTCTCCGCTAATGCTAACTTCTGAGCAAGCCCACATAAAATATGGGAGCGCTGCTTGCAGTTTCAGGCAGCGCTGGCGAAATGTATTCACAGCCTGTCTCCGGGGAAGGTGGTGAGTTATGGAAAGGCAGCAGAGCGCTGCGCTGTGAAATACGGCCCACTGAGCGTAGTCCAAGACACACGCAGGCGTGTTTGCAGCAGGTCCGGATTTTGGGATGCTGAAGGCTGTGCTTTAGAGGAGACCTGCTCTCCTGGCTGGCTGGAAAGCCCCTCTGCTGAAGGGCTTTGGGTAACCCTGGCTAAAGCGGTGTCAAACCTTGAAGCACAAGATGAGCCTCGTGTAGGGAGTTTCCAATGGTCTTGTGGCAATAAAGTCATCGAGGCTTCTTGAATGCTGCTGTTGGACCCACGTCCCGCTGCCGGCGAGGCAAGCGGCTGAAGAAGCTGGTGAAGAGCTCCAGTGATCGTGCAAAGAAATGAACAGCGCGTATTGCTGCAGGCTGTAATTCTTGCTGCTGGTTTGCATCTGGCACCATGGTTTGGCGTGATTGGCGTCCCTGGGCTGGAGACGTGCTCAGGGCAGGAGTTCAGCTGCGGTACCTCGCAGGGAATGCTGCTCGGTCGTGTGTCCTCACAAGCTGCCCACAGAGACCCACGGTGCAGTCAGCGCAGTCCTGTCCTTGCAGCAGGTTATTTCCCACGAGGAGACCCAAAGGTGGCTGCTGGGCTTTACCGTGCAGCCAGGGAACTCCTGGGTTAGTTTAGCTCCCTGTATTTCAGGTTTTTAATAGATTTTCTTAGCCCACGTGTGAATTTGAATTTACTTCAGGGTCACACAAGTCCTTGCTTCCATCTCGCTATTACAGGAGCCATTAACTCTGCAACAGACTGCTCCAGATGGATGCTGAAGGTGGGTGGGTGCTTTTGTTCTGAGTACATGCTTTGGGCTTGGTGTTGCCGTCCCAGGGGATGGAGATGGGATGCAGGGGGTGTCCCCCAGAAGCACTTGCTGCCTCTCTGGCCGTGGCTTGGTAGCTTTAGCTTTGTGTTCTGGGTTTCTCTCCCCTCCTTACCCCCCCTGCATTGTGCAGGCAAAGCACCAGCACCCAGGGACAGCCCCAGGAGCCTCGAGGGGCTCTGCAGCTGCCGAGGCTGCACTTGAACTCCTAGGGTGCGAACATACAAAATCCCTGCCTGTATGTGCTGGCGCATCCTTTCCTGCCTTCCAGCAGGTTTTTGGAAAAGAGCTTGCTGGTTCTTGTGTTCCCGCAGTGCCTGAGCGTGCCTGGGCTCTGCCGTCACGCTGGGCGCGATGGTGGAGGATCGCATCCTGACATTTCGTTTCCAGGGTGTCCGTGGGCCTTCGCAGCCTGTGCCGCGGTACTTGGGCAGATGGGAGGTGGGAGCGTGGCTCAGGCTCTCGCTCGAGGCTGCTACAAACCTTCGTGACTGCAGAAAACCATCTGCAACTGCATGTTCCCGGTGCCTCGTCACGGCCTCCCTCCTGGCTCCCCCAACACTGTTCTTGCTCTCTCCCCGTCTTGCGTGTCCTTGGAGAAAGGTGGCCGGCGTCCCGTGAGCCTTGCTTGCCTGCCTTCGGGGCTGGGAGCGGGGAGGCTGGGTGGCCAGAGATGCCTCCCTGGGGCCGGGCAGGAGCAGTGGGGAGCAGGGGCAGGCAGGGCTCGACGGTGGTTTGCATGCTTTCCTCCAGCGTACCCCAGAGATGCATGCTCTGGCCCTCTTCTGTAGAAAGCACCTTACTTTTCCCCTTTTAGATGGCCTCTAATGGGCACCGTGGTCCTGCTCCCCTCTAGTGCAGGTCTTGCAGCTGCTCCGACCCCATGGCAGCATCCTCCTGGCCTGGACTCTGCCCCCCCCATCCCGAGTTAGCTCAGCCTGTGCTGCTGGCAGCACCGGGCTCTGCTCCGGCACTTTGTCCAAACTCACTCATTGCCTTTCTGCTTAAACGCTCTAAACCCTGGGTTGCATTTGGGAAGCTCCCACGAGCTGCCTCTCCACAACGGGATCGTGTTTTCCCATTATTCATTAGCGACATTTCCGTGCACAACCTGCAGGTAAAGCCCACCTACGTGCCGAATCTGTCGCTTTGCCTCCCAAGAGGAAATTCTCCAAAACCTGGGCGAGCAGCAGCAGCCGTCGTCCTCCCGGCAAGCCCACGCGCGGGCAGACGCCGAATGGTTTCTGACATGGGCTGGGATGCCTTGACTGGGTTTGCAGTGACTTGATTTATTAGTCACGCAGCCGGCTTGCTGCTTGTGTGATTTTTACTGCTCTGAGCTACAATTTCCAAAGCTAAGGAGGAGTAATCCAGCAGAGATTTAACTGCAGGTTCTGCCTGGGTGAATCTGCTGGAAGCTTGTTGAGGAGCACCCCAGGTTTTTAAGGGGGTGCCTGGCTTGGGTAGGCAGAGCCATGAATACTGGAAATAGGATGTGATTTTTCAACTGCATTGCAAGAAGCAAAGAAATGCTCAGCAGGTGCAGGTGGCTTTTTTTGAAAGCGGGCTTTAGAGCTTTAGAGGCTGGATTCTTTGCCCTGGTTTGTACTGGGATGTCTTTACTGCTCTGTGTCTCAGTGTCCCGCTAACCGGTGGGTTTTGTGTTACCCTCCACTGCCTGTTACTGGTGTACAGAGGTGGTTTGGGGCAGGGACGTGGCATCCTGTACATTTAGCCTCTTGGCCGTAGGAACCATCTCCACCTGCGCCATCGCTGTTAGCGTGAGCTCAGGATCCGTGCACCAAGCAAAAGCAGAGCTGAACAGATGCGGTGTTACCCAATATATAAAACAGCTAAAGCCTGTCTCTTCTGATTTCAGAATGTAACACAAACAGTAGAAGAAGAAAAACCCGAGCCTCCGACCATCCAGGAGATCAAACAGAAAATTGAAAAATACAATGCAAAAGTTACAAACTGCCTGTTGATGAAGCTGGTATGTATCGGGCTCTATTTAGGTAATACGCAAAGACCGATGCTAGTTCCTCTGGGCTGTGAACTGAGCCAGGCTGTAGGAAGGCATCTCCAAGGCAAGAGGGCTTGTGGCTGTTGAGTTGAACTGAGCCAGGCTGTAGGAAGGCATCTTCCAGGCAAGAGGGCTTGTGGCTCTTGAGATGTTCTTGTCTTCCTTACCTGATCTGCTTTTTCTCCTGCTTGGGTTTCCTTAGTGTTAGTCACTGACACTTGAGATAACCCTCCCCTGCCTCCGTCCCTTCTCAGCTGGGAGCACCGGCACAGTACTCGCTGGCCAGCCTGTGCTGTGAGTGACTTGCCACAAATGGATGAGCCCACGTTGCTCTCGCGGGGATGAGTCACGGTAAAACTCGGGCTGCGACGCTGCAGTTCAGCAGCTGTTGCAAAGTGGATTTAGAAAGACGAAGTGTGTTTAGAAACACAAAGCCTTTCTATAGAAGGAGATGCTTTTCTCCTCTGCCACTGCCAAGCTTGTTTAAGCAGAGGTCTAAGAACCACAGTGGATGCCTTATATTTTGAAGCTTTGATTGCAAACTTGCTTATCACCACCTGTAAAGTAAAGCCTTGATGGTGTGTGGTGAGAAGACAAGGAAATCACCTCTTCTACAAACCAGAGTACTGCAAAGGTACAAACTTCACGGCATCTTACAGAGAGGAGGAAAAGCTTCTTAAAGAGTGAAATAATTAAATCGTAGAACTTCTAAGAACAGCAGCTACGTAACTCCCTGGTGCTTGCTAACATCTGAAAATAAACCTGAAATGTATTTAAAATAGTAGATCTTACAACAATTTCCCTTGTGAAGGCTGCACAGTAATTTCTGCTGGAACGGCTCACCCGTTGATTTTTATCAGCCCTTGACTTGCGGAAGTCATTTGGGACACAAATCTTTACTCTTGAGTTACTTTTCTTGAAGCTTAGTGAAAATACAATCTTGAGACTTGATACAGCCTTGGGACTCGACTGGGCTCAGCCGCTGGTGGTGGCCCTTCGGTGGGACCGCAGGCCAGTGCTCCTGGCACCTGAGGTGGATCCCTCGGCTTGTTCCTGCCTGGCACCCGTGGACGGACTGTATGGAGCCAGGCTTTTCTCTTGATTTTTGCATTTTTGCAGAGCTGAGGGTAGGGTAAGGGACCTGTTGTGAGACAGGCTGATCTTGAATGATGATTTATTACATGGAGATGTGAGAATCCCGTAAGCGGGGAACAAAATGTGAGGAATACGGTTGGGAGATCCTGCTGAACACAAGGGGTAGAGACCTTTCCAGAGGCTTCAAACCCTCACTTAATTGCAACTACAAATTACATGTAATGGTTTCCATAACTGACTTGTAGCCGTGTTGGTTTTAAATAAGACAAGATCGCACAGATGCGAGGGAGGGATGAGTCATTACCGAGTGGAAGGAACAGGAGAAAATCAGTAGTGACTAACCCGAAATTACTGGTTACTTTTTACATGATTAATAAGAAACCCTCAAACTCCTAGCAGTACCAAGGGGTGGAAAGTCCTGCAGTCACCCCTGCAGGCTGCAGCACTGTAGACCAGAAAGCCCCTCGTGGTGGGGGGGAAGGACTGGAAAGGCTCCCTGGAGCCTGAACCCCCTCTCCTTTGCTTTAGAACGACGATGGGACATACACAGGTTTCATTAAAGTGCATTTGAAACTGCGCCGCCCCGTGACGGTACCGGCAGGGATCCGGCCGCAGTCCATCTACGATGCCCTCAAGGAGGTGAACCTGGCTGATATGACGGACAAGAGAACCTCCTTCTACTTGCCGCTGGATGCCATCAAGCAGCTCCACATCAGCAGCACGACCACAGTGAGCGAGGTGATCCAGGGGCTCCTGAAGAAGTTCATGGTGGTGGATAATCCTCAGAAGTTTGCACTTTTCAAGGAGATGCGGAAGGATGGGCAAGGTGAGTTCGTGCCCTCGGACCCGCCAGCTTTCCTGCGGCTGATCAGTTTGCCTACTATTTTGTGTGACAGAAACATCGTCAAAGCATTCATCTAGGACTTGGTGGGTGGTGTGGCAGGCAGGCAGTGCCTAAATGTCAGATGAATAAATGGCCTGACCGCCACAAGAGGTGATGCTGCTTAAGCTAATGGGGAATTACTGGTTTTCAGAAGGGGGCTGAAGTCCCCCAAGACCTAACAGAGATCGTTATGGATCTCTGATAGAGAGTCAGCTATTTCCACTATGATCCTGAGCAGCACGAACCGCTTTTACATGCTCCGATTGACCTCCTGAGCTTTCCTCTGCCCTGGCAGCCATGGGCTGACTGTGGATGTCTGCTGTCCCCTTGCAGTGCTCTTCCAGAAGCTCCCTCTCACCGAGTATCCCCTGTACCTCCGGCTGCTGGCGGGCCCCGACACAGATGTGCTCAGTTTTGTGCTGAAGGAAAACGAAACAGGGGAAGTTGAGGTATGTTGGTGACTCTTTCCCTTGGTTTTTACATGAACATTAACAGTGTTGTGGAGCATGTGGCAGCGTTGCAGAGCTGGGAGATGTATGGCACGCAAGCAAGGCTGCTTCCCTCTGATTGGGCTGGGTTTACCATACGAAGGGTGATACCAGCTTTTCTCCAAACTTAAATTATCAGCTCAATGGACTGCTTGTACCTTACTTTTAAAAAAAAAAAAAAAAAAGGATCCTTCATTGCCTCTCAAGTATGTTGATTTTTAAAAAATTTAAACTTGAGCTGTGAAAACGCTGAGGCCGGTTTTGATGGCCAAACCATAATCTGTTTACAGAACCAAGCAACGCCATCCCAGAGTTAATCCTCCTCAATAATTAGATTGGCTAAACACTGTTATAAGTAATCCACTAATTTAAGTAGAAGCCAGGGACACTCGGGTAATAAATTCGCGGTCGGTTTTTGGTGCAGTCATGCTCCCCACCACGATGAAGGCAAACGTTGGGAGCTGCCGCGGGATTCTGCCTCACGTGCCGGGAGCGGCTCCGTGCCGCGGGGTGGTTCAGGACGTGCCGTGCCACCGGAGGAGTTGGACTGCGGTTGGTAAGGACGCCGCAGGAATGCCGGCTTGCCGCGGCAGCGCTGAGCAGACATAAAGCAGTGTTTATTAAGTGATCGCAACCATCAGCCTGCGGCCTGCCTGTTCCTCGCTGTCAGCCTGATGTTGTTGTAGGTGACAGCCGGAGCAGCCAGTCTGCTGGCACCCCGTGCCAAGAGCTTTGCTGAAGCTCGAACAGTTTTGATGGTAACTTTGCAGTGAAGTGAAGAGAACTGGCTCCTGCTGGGCAGCGTTGCCTGCTGGGACCTCGCTCCCCCTTCGTAACGAGAAGTGCGGGTGAATGCTACGTCAATTATTTCCATATGTATTTCAGTTCCTTAGGGAGCTGTGTCACCTCTTGCAGTGGGAGCTTCAACTCACCTGAGTAAAGATAATTTCTATTAAATCTACAGTCTCAGGGGCTCAGGACTGGGATGGCCCTTTATGCTGTAGCCCATTATCCCGTCTCTCTCACAACATGATGCTGTGAGATTAAGCTACCCGGAGATCAGATACGTGTTTAAATGTCTTTTTATTGTTCCTCTTCACAGATTCAGGGGAAAAAAAAAAAAACCCAAACCACAAAAGCAATAAGGTGAATGGTGTGTGCTTACTTTCCCTCTGTTTCTGCAGTGGGACGCATTCTCCATCCCAGAGCTACAGAACTTCTTGATGATACTGGACAAAGAAGAAAAGGACAAAATCCAGCAAGTGCAAAGGAAGTACGAGAAGTTTAAACAGAGACTGCAACAGACCTTGAAAGAAGCCAGAGGCAAGCCTGGATAACTCTTTGGGAGGCGCTGGGCATCAGACTAAGCTAGATACTATTTTTAAAATGAAAAGACACTTCTCAGGACACCTTACAATAGTCACTCTCCCTCTTCATCCTTCCATTAAGGACTGGCTCACAGCACCCATAAAATCAACATACTGCATTTTCTTCTTATCCCAGGACCAGAGCCAGTCAAAGAACGGGAAGCCTGTTTTAAAACTGTGCCCGTCAACAAACCAAACACAGCTGCTGGTTCGCTTTTCAGCTGTACCATCAGATGGAAAAGCTTCATGGAAAATGCTGTGTTAAACCCAACAGGAACATCTACTGGCTAATGTTTTGAGCAGGGTAACACTTGCCGTTCACGCTCCCCCCAGCAACTCGCTTGTTCTTGTTCGGAGGTGCTGCGGCTCATTGCGTGCGCCCACGTGGCCGAGTTCTCATTTCGTAAGTAGAGCACAGGAAGCAGCAGATAAAGCAGAGGAGGTGGTTGCACCAAACCATGTGGCTGTTGCAGCTGCAACCAACACCGGACGGACTTGTTCAGGGTTAAGATAGCCAGGGAAATGTAAAGTTATGACACCCAAGGCAGCTGCAACACCCAAACAGTCTGTTGTAAGTATTATTGAAACTTGGTGATATTAATTCCAAGAAAAGTAATCCATTTTGATTCTCATTAACTTCCAATTTTGAAAACAGATGTGAATCAAAGCAAATACCCCTGATGCTTAGCTAAGCTAGCCAGTGTTTTACCCGTTTTCTACTCTGTAGGAATTGGGACCTATTTTTTAACAAATTGTGTTTGAAAAGTGTAAAGGTGATGGTTGGGCCGTGGGCCGACGGTTCAATACTGAACGTTTAGCAATACATATCCAATAGACTAACCCAGGAAAGCTCAAAACCCCCTTTCACAAACCAAACTGATTTTGAGCTATGAACAGGTCTGACACCGAGGGAGAGGAGCTCTGACCAGGGCCAGGGCGTGGACGTGGCACGAAGAGCACAGGCTGCCTGTGTGGGAAAGCCGTAGCACCAGGAAGAGTAAGGGAACCGTTAGCCTCAGATGCTTTCCCCCCGCCACTCTCTCATACCATGCTTCCTCCTGCTAACCCTCCTTGTACCGCTCCCCCACCACTCCTGTCCATCACACGCCATCCCCTCCCTCCCTGTGCCATTCTGTACGTGCGTGTTCTCCTTCCCTCCCTCCCCACTCACAATCGGTGCTCTGCCTGCAGGTCCAGGAAGGTTACCAGGTTTTGCTCTCTACGTGGAGCTAGGAGAGGAGAGTAAGTTTCTCTCTCTCCCCCCCCCCTCAGGGCTCCCACTGTCTCTGATGCACACACTGCGCATCCTTCAAAAAAAAAATCCTTGAGCTGAATTGTCAGTTACTGCCATAGCTCTAACCAGCGACCCTGATCTCGCTGACGCCATGCAGCGATCGCTGAAGGGCAAGGAAGGCTCCAGGGGTGCCAAGCTGAGAGAGGACGGTCCCCGTGTTTGCTCTCAGTGCTTTGTAGCGAGCACGCTGCACGCAGCCAGGTTCAGTCTTCCCTCTGGTTACACAGGACACCACAACAAGGCGTAAAGAGAAAAAAGGAACGTTAATACTAGCTGGATTCAGATGGAGCATGCGAAAGGGTTTCACACTGACTTGATGAACAAGTGTCCCTTTGAGCTCACTGCAGACTGCTGTGACCCTGCCTGCACGAAGTGGGAAGGGAGACAACAGGTTATTGGGTAACAGAGACAACATGGAAGAGTCTAAAATTTACCTCAGTGCCTTTTTTTCCTTAAGCGTGAAAACTCTGCATTTGGGCTAAGGAGGAAGTTGGAAGGGGCTTTTGTCAAGAGCCTTGTCAGTCCTGACCCCCCATTTACCTAAAGTACTGTTGTGATGAGGCTGCTTTTGTCCGTAGAGGGACGAGGAACTGTTTTTGTTTCCTTCTTGAAGGTGACAGCTTGGGATTTCCTCCCCCGCCCCCAGATTTATACTTGAGTATGTTTGTTTATAAACCATAAGAGAGAAACCGCATCACTTAAAGCCCCTCGGTTTGTATAAATGCCACTTTCTGCAAGCTTAGTTCCAGCTCATGTTTTAGTCAGTAGTGTAAAAGGGTTTGCTAACAAACAGGGCTATGGCCTCTGGCACGCAGTGCGGGAAGGGCCTCCCAGCTGTACTGTACTCTACGCCCAGATGACCTTTAACAACGTGGCGGCAGCCCAACTAGAGCAGCAGTTTTCATGCTCTGGGGCTGTTTGTCCACTTACAAGAATACTTACGACTTCATTATGCATTTGAGAAGTAATTTAAATAACGTTTATCTAGTGTTTTGAGTCTTGAAAGCACGGTATAAATACTTCTGTTCAGTCAAGAGCAAGAACACTGTAAAAACTGCCATTGGTTCTGAGAAGTAAGAGCCAGACGCTTGTTTTTAAATCCCTTCTCTTTCTGGCTAAAAGTTGTAAGATTTCTTTTGTTGTTGTTGTTCTTCTCCTAAGAGTTTTGGTGACTGTCTCCCTCTCCCCTCCTGGAACCCAGCATGTCTTTGACATTTTGTAGAAGGCATGGCTTCTTATGCAATTACCGTGAATGCTGCTGAAAACCTCCTGCAAAGGGGAGGGCCGTTTCTTTTGGTTTTTCAGATAATGGGGCATTTGAGGAATTGGTTGGTCTTGAAACTCATATTCTCAACAGTCAGTTGAGCTGTGTCTAGGATAGAAGTATTGGCCCCTTCCTTAAGCGCAAAATACTGTTGGCAGTGCCTTTGATTAGTATATTGTGTTGCCCAGTTTGTGTGAATTTATTTTTCATGTCTACTGTAAAACATGTAAAATAACGTGTATAGAATGGAATAGTAGAGCTTCTATGGCAAAGTGAAATGCATTTTTGCAATGCTGTAATTTATTTTTACTACTCCATAGTAATTCTATGGCATTTTTAAAAAATGTCTCACTTCCAGCTTTTTTGAAGGTTCTGAAACTACTTGTTCATACGCAGATACTGTAAAAGACAACGATAATAAAACTGTCAGTAATTAAAGAAATCTCTTTAACGTCTTTTTCTGGCGCCCTCCTGTGGAACTTTCATGTATTAAGTCTAAAGGGAAAATACAGGAATCCTTCCTAGAAGTGAATTTACATTTCTTAACCCCACTGTAAAGTGCTTAAGCTTCAGCTAAAGTGGTACAGGACATCCACCCCTGTGAAACCTGACCAAAGTGTTCATTAATCTTAATATTTTAGCTGGATTTGACAGAACTGCTACCCATGTCTACCTGTGGTAAATTACAGTTAATGTCATACGTTAAAATGTATTTATATATAAAAATAATATAAACCATAAAAATCCAGCTAATAGAGTTCATTCTCAGTGCTGAAATGTCTGATATTAATATCTGGAAATGTTTAAAAGGTTAAAATGTAAACCCAAGACTGGTTTGTACTTCTGACATACGCAGTCTATGGCACAACACACTGGACTGTTCCAGGACGATGTGTTGGAATGTACTTTGCTTACATTTCAGTGGAGGTTCTATTACCATGCCTTTGCTAAAAGATGCAAAGTAAGAATGTTAAACTAGCCAAAAGCCACTGTAGCCAGAAAACGAGTGCACCATTGGAACTTCTAGAAAAATATATGGAAGAGGATAATGCTAGGGGTTTTATTCAGCTTTTTATTTTTATGAAAAATGAACAGCTGGAGCAATATTATTATTTGGGTGAATCCTAGACCTTGTAAACATCCAAGACTCATTTTTCAATTAATAGGGCCTGTACATTATCCTTGATTTGTTGGCAGAACACTTCTATAAATAACGAGATCTGAGTAACTCTTACAGTAGATTTTTCTCTTACTTCTTCCGGCCAAGCTTTGGAGCCTTCTCAAGGCCTTGAATATATTTCCGAGGTAGCTGGTATTCTTCTGCAACATAACCAAGAGTTCACTTCAGGTAAATATTCAGAGCTCAAGAATTAAAATCTGTATCTTGCTATAACCAGTCCCGGCCCTGTTCCAGAATAGACTTACCTAGCAGCATCTTGGCCAGATGATGGATTTGGTTGCCTTGGATCTGGACCTGAACTCTGTCTTTTGTTCCTGGTACTGGGGTGATGGTGGCACTGGCTTGTACTTTTTGTTGCAGAATGTTGGCCACACACTGTGGGTCTAGACCATACAGCTCAAGGTTCTTGATAATTGTCACCTACAGGTTTTAATAATTATTGCAAACATCACTGCTGTAGGTATTAGCAAGTCATGTCCCATTCATCCCAGAAAAACGAGCTGCCAAAGCTGCTCTCAGAATCTGGGCTTCTGCTCAAAACCCTGTGATTGTAGTTCTCTTTTTACCTTCTTATTTGATGATCTCTGTGCTATGGCTATGTTGATGGGTTCAATGTTTCCTTTCCTCACAACAGGTTCTTGTCCAAAAAATGTCACCTGGTGTAAGGGCTGCAGTCGTTCAAGGCACCTGAACAAAGTTTACATATCCAATTAGTCTATACAGTATGGCAAGGCTGATGTTAACTGTGCTTTTCCACTGCAGCCTCTCACAGGTTTTTGAGACTACACGAAAGCCAAGATTCTATGTGTGAGAATCTGTATCTTAAGAAGATAATGCATGATGATCTCATGCGAAGATTTGCATCCTAGCTATTATTTAAAGAAAGGGACTGACTAAAAAGAAAGCCAGTCTACTGACTGGCAAAAATTATAGATTAGGTTGTTACTGGTAAAATTTTATAAATTGGTTCTTGTAAAGGAAAACCTTCTTTAATTTTGTCTTTAAGCTATTGTTCAGCTGTATTGTTCACAGATCAGAGAAGCAACTTCACTTTAAAATTCAGCATAAACTGTGTTACTGTCGTACGAGCAAACTTGGCTTCAGAAATAAAGGAAGCTGCTGGAGGTACCTCAAGCATTGTGTGATGAAGAAGCTCAAGGCAAGTAAGACATTGGGGACATTTCGGCAAAGTTTTTCAGTATATGGAAACAATGGTCTTGTGTCAGATACTC